TGTTTTCATGCTTGGATTTTTTCTGACACCAGTTTTCTGTATGTTTTGTGAATTTTGTTTTGCTGTGCATATAGTGTATATAATGGACAAATGAATCCCAGTTTTATAGCTCTAGTCTCTAGATGTTAAAGAGGTTGCCAGTGTATAACCATGTCATTACTCAAATTAGCACATTTTGTATATTTTGTGTTGAAAAATGGCTTATGTGTTGTGTTGAAAAAAGGCTTGATTTTAGAATTTGATTTTGGAAAGTTTTTTAAAAAGATACCAAAAGGCTTAAAACAATTAAAAATAAAATTAGCATACTATAGGGATACAGCCATGTCAATATTTATAGCAGTGCAATTTACAATAGCCAAGTTATAGAACCAGGCCAGATGCCCATCAATAGATGAATGGCTAAGAAAATGTCATGTATATACACAATTGAGTTTTACTCAGTTATAAAGAAGAATGAAATTATGAGATTTGCTGGAAAATGGATGGAGTTGGATAATATGCTAACTAAAATAAGCCAAACCCAGAAAATAAAAGGTCAAATGTCCATTCACATGTGGAAAAATAAATGGTGTGGGGATGAAAATAAATGGTGAAGGGGATCCCATGAAAACAGAAGAGAGATTAATGGAGTAGAGGAAGGGGATTGAGGGGTAGGGGCAGGAGGCATGGAAAAAGGGAAGAATGATACAATGAATCTGACTAAACTATCCCATGTACTATATGAATATACCACAGTGAATTCATCTTTATGTATACCTATAGTGCACTAATTTTAAAAAGCTATAAATAAAGAGAAGACCAATAGAATAGAGGAAAGGGAATAGGGGAGAGAGGAGGGGAAAGGAAGGGGAAGTACTGGGAATTGAATTGGAGCAATTAAATTACATGCTTGTATAATTATGTCAACATGAACTCCAATATTATGTTTAATTTTAACACACTAATAAAAAATAGAATTTCAGATCATTATGGGATAAAATCAATGACAGACTATTTCAAAGGTACAAAACACAGCATCTTTGTTTTTTAGGCCAGTTACCTAAAAGGTAAAGAAACACCTCTCCCAGTTTCCTATGAAGTACAGATCAGGGCTCCAGGAAAACACTCCTGTGAACACAGGGGGGTAAAACTCTAGGTTCACATCAGTGTGCTTTTAAATTTTTAGGTACACTTATAAATAAATAATTTTCTTCCAACTTTAGCTGACTGGAACCCAAATATTTTTTCTTTCTTTCTTTTCTTTTTTTACAAGCTTTCCTCCGCAACCTTTTGTAAAACCACTCCTTTTCCCTCAGCAAAGCATGTTCACATTGACCACCACCTCCTTTGTTAGACTCCCCATATGTGAAGTTGCTTTCCTTCTTATTTCTAGTTTTAGTTACTGTATATTAGTTAGAATTTTAATCCTTAGCAACTGTAAACTAGCATTCTGCTAGTTTATTTCCGGAAATATATACTATTTTCTATATTTATTAATAGACCCCAACATCTTTAGCTTCTTCATGCCGTATAAAAGATGCTCAAGTATAGAAACTTTAAACTTATGCTTAATAATTGATGTTTCAGTATTCTAACTTATTTAGGAAGGATCCAGGCATCTAACAAATGACTATTACTTACTTTTTACATGACTCTAAGATTTTTTGCAACTGAAAAAATTTTTTGAAACTATGAAGAATTTGTTTATAAATGTTTTTCCCATTTACATTCACTTAATCTACTTTTTCTTAACAAATATATCTGAATTACTCACAGAAATTTTATGGGTATGAGGTTTGACCTAAAGGTATAAAATCAGGATTCATCTGCAAGGACGTAGCTTCTAAACTTATAGATCAAAATATGGACTCGATGGAGAAGGTAAACAAAAACAATAATCACCACCAAAAAATAAAAGAATAAAAAAAATAAATTATGGAGAGCCAAAATATTTGGAACAGGAAGAGGGAAAGAAAGAATTGGAGAAGGAGAGAAAAAAGTGGTTGAAATGAACAAATCAAAGTGTGGCTTATCATAAGGTGGCAATTTTATAGGCTGAAAAATTATCTGCCCAATTTTTTTTAAACATCAGTAAGACTAATACAGGAAAGATAAGGAAACAAAACCTTAGGATGTTAGGGGAAAATGTGGTTATTCCTGTGGAAATTGAATGTCTAATATCCTTATTTTCTTGTCCTAGCCAGAGAGAATCATGGTAAAAATAAAACCATGTGATGACTTAGAGTTTCAGTTAACTCATGATTTAAGTGGTAAATTCTAATTTGAAATAGATAAACCAAAGTCCAGTTACATTTGCCTGGAATTACAGGACTGGGTGCTCCAATCTGGTCAGTCTTACTGGTGATTTTTGCTTAATTAATGACCCACCACCTCCCTTTGGATGCTGGCTCACATCTAAAAAGTTTGACAGTGATCTCCCTACCCCATTTCTTTTTGATGTAATGTCTCCTGTCTTTCAGGCTAGGTGAAGAGCCCATCTTGCCAAGCAGCCAACCTAGACAGGGAGGGTGAAATTCCTGTGAGGTGTGGTGCTAGCTGCTGTGTTTTCACAGGAAATGCCTTCCAGGACTGTTCCCCAGTGGGTTGGAAAGCTACCATAGGTGGAATTCACCTCAGAGGAGCAAGGTCTTGGCCTCCATCCTTAATGATGGCCCACACACAGTGTACAATTAGAATCAAGCAATGCAGACCTTCTCAGAGTGCTGTTAGTAACCAAGAACAGGCAGTTTACTTTGACTAAATAGTAAACTCTCTACATCTATTTCACTCTGCTATTTACCAGAAACAAGGACTTATTTTATTAGTGTGATAATAGCTCCAAGATATTATACCTCCCCTAGAATTTTCCCTCAAAAATTCTCACCCAACACACATGTAAACAGGGAACAAAAGCTATTTAAAAGTAGAAGGTCTGGAGACTGGAGTTGTGGCTCAGTGGTGTGGCATGTGTGAGGCCCTGGGTTTGATCCTCAGCACAGCATATAAATAAATTAGAAAAATAAATAAAAGATCCAGTGACAACTGAAAAAAAAAGATAGAGTGTATTTTGCTCACATATAAGATGGAAATTTGTATGTTTTGGATGAGTATATCTAAATATTTGGACAATATATCCTTAAGTATAGTTTGAAACTGGCTTTATGACCATATTCTCCAGTGACTTGCCTCTGTATTCTCTCAGCTGCACATTTGCCCTCCTGACCTCTGCCCTGCAATGCTGGCTCTGGGACATTCTGGTCAGTTGCTCTCCCTGTTGGGCTCCAAAAGGTGATATGAGAAGGAGTTACAGAAGAAACATTTTAAAAGAGATGCCCCTGGGCAAGACTGTGCATATCCCAAGAAAATGGATCCAGGACAGATAAGAGCAGGAAAAAATCTCAAGAGGACCAGATTCCCTCCTTGATTCTAAAATCACATACCGTTTACATTCATATAAGGTCAATTCTGTTTAATTTCATGGATAGTGAAGTATAACTGACAGAGAAAGAAGAGAGACTCTTGTGTTTTTATTTATGTGAATAATATTCAGGCCCATCTGCTTGCTCTGTCTTAAAAATAGAACTTCTGAGCTGTGATTTGGCTTATGACCATCCACTGAGAGGCCTTGGCAGCTGGGTGTGGTCAACTGAGGAATGTTTGGCCAGAGATATGTCAACAGAGGGATGCAGGCCACTGAGGGTCCCAAGTGCCCCTACCCAGGTCCTACTCTCATGATGGAGATAATTTTTTTTCTCTTTCCAGTGATGTCACTGTTCAACTAAGGCCAGGAAAGCAATTGACAGGGCTCATGTTTAGAACATTCTGTTCCTAAGAATCAAAATTTCCTTATGAAACTAAGCAAGAACAAGAATGTTTTGGAAAATATGCTTCAGTTTAACTTACAAAAGAGGAAAAATGAAAACAAGAGGAAAGAGAAGCAACGGTGATAGTTAACTTTTTAACGTGTTGACTTGGTGGGTTGGGGTACACATAGTAGCCTAGGTAATGCTGTGAAGGTAGTTTTATAGATAGAGTTAATACACACCACTAATTGGCTTTAGATAAAGGAGATCATTCTCAATAATGTGATTAGATCTCATTCAATTCGTTGAAGGCCTTGAAAACAAAGACTCAGATTTTCAGGGTCTTCTTCAGACTATAATGTAGAATTCCTGTCTTTCTGGCAAATTAGGATTTTCTAGGCCCCACAATCACATGAACTCATTCACAGAAACTAGAGTTTATCCTCCACAAGGCCAGTCATGGTAATTCTGATCTTTCCCCACCCTTTTAGAATTGTCCTAAAGAAATTCTCTGGCCTAACTTACCAACGAGTAGATCAAAAGACCCTATTTCAGTAGGGTTCTTCCTCAATTCTATAGGGAGGGTTGCACACAGAGGTCAAGAAGAATCTAGACAGACCTCTTTGGGTTTTCCAAATCTATGAGCATTAAATCATATCCTTTTTGTCCAATCACATATCTATATGGTTCGCCATGCTTTCAATCAGGTCTGTGCAATAAGTCCCCTTAAAAAGGCAGAACAAGAGGGTCCTAAAGCTTTGGACAACTGAGCAAGTTGAGGTGCTGGTGCACCTGGAGGAATGGGAGCTTTGCACCTCTTCTCTCATACGTCACCTTATGCATCTCTTCATCTTTACTAGGCATCCCTTGTACAGGCCTGTCTCCTTTTACTGTGCTTTGCTTCATTGCCCTTCATAGATACTGCATTTTCTTTTTAACAGATGAAAGTATTGAAACATCCCTGTGTTGAGCAAGTCTCAGGGTACTAATTTTCCAACAGTATATGCTCACTATGTTTCTCTGTGTCATATTTTGGGTGACTCTCACAATATTTCAAGGGTTCTCATTAGTTGTGGTGATCTCCTATCATGTCTTGATGTTACTACTGTAATTGTTTTGGGGCACCATGGAGCATCCCCACGTGAAGTTGTAATCATAACTGAAGAATATTTGTGCTCTGACTTCGTCACTGATTCACATCTCTCTCCCTCTCCTCAGCCTTCCTATTCTCTGAGACATAAAAAAAAGGAAAGTAAGGAATTAATGACCCTGAATGACAGCCACCAAGGCAGCTGCAAAAGAAGCAGGGAACATGAATGGCTTCTCATCAGCAATGGCTGGTTACAGGAGAGAGATTGTCACAACAAGAACATAAAATATCCTGGGGTTAAATTTGATGGAAAATATGAAAGATATCTGAGAAGTTATTTTGTTCCACTGAAGGACATATTAAAACCATGAACATGTCAAAATGAAAAGCTAGAATACTGAATGTTGTCCAAAATTTTCCCTGAATTAAACGTAAATATTGAAATGTACTCCTCGTTTAGAACACAATACTTCTTATTTTTGAATCTGAAAAATAAATTTCATTTGAAATTCATTCAGACACCAAAATTTAGGAAAAAAAATCAAGAAAGTGTCATTATCTAAAAGATATAAAAAATGTTATGCTTAAAATGGTGTGTTTGGAAGCAGGAAGTGGGGGAGGGAGGAAGAAAGTGAGTGAGCCGGGTATGGTGGCTTATGCCTGTAATCCCAGTGGTTTGGGAGGCTGAGACATGAGAATTGCCAGTTCAAAGCCAGCCACAGCAATGGCGAGGTGCTAAGCAACTCAGCGACACCCTGTCTCTAATATATTTTAGATAGGGCTGGGGACATGGCTCAGTGGTGGAGTGCCCCTGAGTTCAATCCCTGGTACCAAAAAAAGAAAGAAGGAAAGAGGGTGGGAGAACAAAGGAGGGAGGGAAAGAAAGAGAATGAAGGAAGGAAAGAAAAAGGGGGGATGGAGGGAGATTGATAGCCCTGGATTTAGGACTAAGATACAGAAATATAGCAAATTATGGCGAATTTGCTATAGGATCAAAATGGCTTTTTGAATCAGTTTTTGAAAGTCTCACAGAAAAATACATGACTAAGAGCATCATTTAAAAAAAATGAACTTAGACTCATGAGATAGCATATAAAGGTAAATTCTAAGAACATTTTGACTAGATCAATATGCATTCACTGCTTTCATGTAATAAACATTAACACATCACCACATGCTGTACACTGAGTGTTTAATAAGGAAGATAATATCACTGCCCCTCTCTACAGATGTGATAAGGGAGCCTAAGAGAATGTAGGAGCTGGCCTGAGTCAGAGATCTGGTGGAACTTATACAGTTAATAAGGAAGATAATATCACTGCCCCTCTCTACAGATGTGATAAGGGAGCCTAAGAGAATGTAGGAGCTGGCCTGAGTCAGAGATCTGGTGGAACTTACTCACAGGTGGTTTAGCTCCAGGGTCCCTGGGCATCACCACTTCAATCTATACACACACACATACACCCCTAGAGGCATGTCCCAGACACTACTGCTGTGTAACAAGTCACTCTACTGCTTGGTGGAGTGTTAAGCAAATGTCTGAACTTATGAGGATTCAGGAACTCAGGAAAGGCCCAGTTGGGCAATTCCTGTGAGAGGTCACCATGTGGTTGCAGTCAGATGACAGCTGATGCTGTAGTTACCTGGGAGCTGAAGGAGGACTGGACATCCATGGTGGTCCCAGCAGGTGATGCTATCTTGGTAGGGAACTTAGCTGGGGTTGTCACCTGGAGCTTCTCCTGAAGTTTCTCAGGCATGGCAGTTTAGGTATTGGGCTCCTTACAGGAAGCCTGGCTTCCCCCAGGGCAAGGGTACAAGACAGCTTAGCAGGGACCTTTGCTAACCCCACATTGGAGGTCATCACCTCCCTTCCTGGGCTGTTTTGGTTGATGTAGTCATGAGCCCATTCAGAGTCAAGAGCAGGAACACAGAACCCAACACCTGAATGCCCACAGTGCTGAAGAAGTTCAGAGCCATGTTTTAAAATCTCCACAATATATGACCACATAAATTTAAAAAATCCAAAATTTATAGTGTTTACTCTAAGCCACACACTGTACTGAACTTATTTATGCGGATTATCATATATACTTATTTTGAACATTTAAAATAAATAAATATCAAAGCAAAACCATGCATATAGTGTATGCAGCAGGTGGGCCTTCTCCCCAGGACACACTGTTCACAGTCAGTTCTGGGTCTGAGTGGTTTCTGTCTCAAGAGTGGCAGATGGAAAGACAGTGTGGAAAGGGGTGAAGCACATGCTATTTTAGGACTGTGACTTCCCTGTTCAAGCACCAAGATATTACTGTTCATGCAATGACAGTGACACCAAGGTTATATTAATAACACAAATTCCTTGGAGATCAAGTCCACCACTTGCCAGGGCATTTGTTTTAAACACTACATCCGTTAAGCTGCATACAATGTAAAAGAAAGGCTGGGGACGTCCATCTGTGACCACTGCATGACATCTTATCCTGAGAGTACTGGAGGAGGTGCTGCCTGTGCTCTGTAATATGTTGTCCCTAACTTAGATTCTGGTTCAGTTACACCCACACCAATACATTTTCCATGTTTTTTTCATGTGGGTAATTGAATATTGTATGGATAGTAGATGGAAATCCACCTATTTAGTCTCTGGGGAACCTGACAGTGAGAGGCAGTCTCCAAATCGATGCTTCCAGGTTCCTTCCTAGGTCCCTGCTCTCTCTTGTCCATTTCCTAGGAGCCACTGCAGCTGGATGGCTGTGATCCCAGCCCCTTTCTACTCTTTCTCTAAGACCAGATATCCTGAAAAGTGACAGCATTGGCCCTGACATGCACACATGACTCTGTGGGCCTCAGCTTTCTGTTTATGGCAGACTCTTCCTGCATGCACTTGAGACAGTAGAGACAGTAACCACTCAGGAGGAACTAATGTCACGTTCTTTATTGAACAAGGCAGAAGCAGTCTACATGCACCAAGCACTGGTGTGTTTGAAAAGTAATGAGAGGGAAGGAACAAGGGGAGAGCCACTTAGGTGCTCAACACCTGCCCACAGACGCCTTCTTCACTGGTCTGCTGGTGCTGGCATACTGGGACTTCTCCCAGGGCTGGGGGACACATATGAGGGTCAGAGTCACTACATGACACAGGAGTAAGGGTATTCAGTGCAGTCCAGACTGGCACAGACCCTTAGGCATTCTGACAGCTGGATTTCGTCATGGAGATTGTGCCCAGCCAGGGCACAGTGTAGATCTGGAAAGAGCAGAGTGCTTTCTGTACAAGGGAAGAAAGAGGAACAATCAGTATAGGTTACAGTTAACAAGGAAGATGGCCAGCAGTAAGATGTCTGAATGGAGGTACAGAATAACGGAGGTGAGACACTTGGCATCCACGGCCCCTGCCAGATCCCAGAACACTCATCCCGATCCTGCAATGTCTACTCATTCCCCTTCCTATTGCACCGAGTCTACCAGATGGCTTGTGACCCTCTGCTGGGATTGTGGGATTCCTCATCTTCCTGCCTCCAGTACAGCCCCAGCCCTCTAAGGACCAGCTTATGTCAGGCTGTGGGAGCCCCAATGATGCAGAGAAGGCTGCTTACTGTTCCAGTTCCCTCTAATTCCAGCATCAAGAAGAGCACAGAGGGAAGCAGTGGAGCATGGGAAATACCCCTGAAAGACGCAGGGTGGGAGCAGGGGAGGCAAGGCAAGGGCTGCTCTCCCCAGGGACACGGAGAGGCTGGCATTGGGTGAGCAGCAACAGAACCACAGGGTTTCAGCCGCTTAGAGGCCTCTAATTTGTTCAGCATGGTTCTGGGCAGATGTCCAAGGCTGGGATTAACAGAGCCTTTTCTCCCTCCCTGGCAACCATCCCTAGAGCTGTGTCCTCTAGTCCAGTGGGCAGCAACCCAAAAGCACACAGGGCTGTCCTCCACTCTGCAATTATATTAATCATAATTGTGTACGCACACAGCCCCTTCTACAGCATCCCACCTATGCACAGGTCTGCATCGTCATAAACTCAAATACACCCCACACTCACATATTCATAGATAGATCTTCATGAACCAGCAGACTCCTCATCCCACATAGACACACACATTCACACATGCACCCAAGCATGTGCATACATGCTTCTCTTGACACATATTCAAACATGAGCGCACAAAGACAAGCTCGCATACCCCTCTGCATGTATGATTGGTCCTTGAACCCTATAAGAGACATACCCTCTTCAGATGTGGCTCTTCATGGAAGGGACAGTCAGCCAAATAGGCCTGGGTCTTGGTACATGTGGTTCGCCCCATCTCCACATCCAAGAGGTAGTTCACTCCAGACACGATCTATATTAATAGAATAGGATTCACTTACAGTACTTCTGGTCAATGTCATATGCTTGCAGTTGCTCTACATTATAGAGATAATGTGTTTGCCTAGGATTCTTGTCTGCATTCTCGATCTACCAAAAGTATCAACCACAAAGCATACAAGCCAACTCTTCTAGCAGGATGGCCGCAGGTCCTGCTTTGCATCTTATTTCCTTCAGAGCAACTCTTAAAAAGGTGTCTCACGCAGGTGAGTAAGAGGAGAAGCAGGAAAACAAAAGGCAGGGCTTAAAATTATCGCTTACCTGGGTTCAAGAAGGGAAGGCATGGTTCTGGGAAGCTAACAAGGGTGGAGGCAGTTCCATGTTTCAGGAATGTAGGGCTGGTCTAAGCACAAGGGAAGGCTCTCTGCCTCAGGAGAGGACAACTGAATTCTGCTGACTGTGGCTCAGGAGGCAGGGAATGTGGGCTGGGTTTGCTTAGGAGAGTGGCACCCTGATGATTCAGCCTCAGCTGGATTTCAGTCACCAGCATGTAGCCTATGGAGAATCCCATTCCTTCCACTTACCCTAGGCTCAGAATTCCCTCATTTTACACATACAGGGAGATTTCAAACCAAGAAGAAAGACTCTCAGTTGCCTCCAAGTTCAGTGATTTTTTTTTTTTTTTTTGTCATGCTCGGGATTAAATCCAGGGCTTTGTGCATGTGAGGCAAGCACTCTGCCAACTGAGCTATATCTCCAGCCCCTTCAGTGAAATTTTTGATGTAAGTGTGTCTTACACTTGTCATTAAAAAATAGAATTTAACCCTTTCCCTGCACAGTTCTTATTAGAACTGAAGAGAACAGGGTGATGGACATGGTGACAGGGCTCTAGATAATGCCCTGTGCAGGGTCCTGGATCCTTTAGTATAGGCTTTTTCTTCTGTAACATGAGAGTTATGTCCTGTGCTCTGCTCCAAGTTAGCATCACACTTGAGAGGTAAGCAAAGGCTGTGGCACTAGAAAGTGCACATGTCCAAGGGGAGAGTATCAGTTGATTACTGCAGGAGAAATGGGTCTTGCCTTGACTCATCTGAATTTTTAAGAGAGGGTGGAAATGAGCTTGAGACATTGGACTGTGGTACAACACTTATGTAGTCATGTCACTGTGCA